CACTTGGAGCCCAGCAGTAAGCAGGCAAAGAGAAAGTTTTCATTAGTGTTCATCCAGTTCTGTTCAATTAGAAGCTCATTGATTTTGCCTTAAATACAAGCACTGAAGAGGTGCTTTGTAAGGTGGGGATAAATTTCCCTCAAGCTTGTCCCCTTCCCTCTGCTCAGATATTACATTTCCCACAGGAACTACCAATTGAATTGGTTAGATTCTCAAATATCTCAATTCCCCCAAAATCATATGCAAAAACGAGGACAGGAGATGCACTGTCACTAAAAATTTATACCCCAGTCCCATTTTTAATGAATGATTGGCATCATGTTACCTGTGAGATGGGTTCTCAAGAAAAAACCCTACTCTGGGTAAAGTAGAGGTCTAATCTTCAAATTTTCAAAGCCAACATCCCATGCTGAATTACAGGAGCCCTGTCAGGGATCTCAGGAGTCCTGCTGGAGGCCGCCAGGCAGCCACTGTCTGACAGGTCTCTTTACGTACGTATGTGATTGATGTTTTTACTCTTAGAGATCAGGTAAAATGGGAAGATTCAGGAAGCCATTTTTGTATCAAATTGTCTCATATGCATATATTGTAACCTAGAAATTCATTCTCAAGATTTTACCTTACAGAGATAAAGTCATGAGTGTGAATATATTTATGCATAAAGAAATGCATAAGAGCAAAATGCTCGTCAAGGCAAATGGATCAGTAAATTATGATACATACATACAATGAGACACTGTGCTGCCTTTTAAAAATGATGAAGTAGATCTACATTTAGGTACAAGGAAATAATTCCACTATGTTTCAGAATAAGAAAGTAAGTTACAGAACCATATTCAGGTGAAATAGTCTATGCACAGAGAGACATTTAGATATTTTGATGATGTTTCAGCAATATTTAATTCTTTACCTGAACTTACTGCGTTGTTTTAATTTCTTATAATAAGCAAGTAATGTTTTACAAAAAATAAATTATTTCAATGAGAAAAATAGTAAATATCATTGTCTGTCAAGATTTGATGATACTGATATATTTAGCCTGACGATAAATACGTCTAGATGCAAAACACACTGAAACATGACCTATTTTACAAAAACACATAAACCCACATCATTAGGATGAGAGCCATGGTGATAAGTCAGAAATTTTATCTATTCCAGTTTATATGTTACCTACAAATACATTTTTAAAGTTCCCCAGCATTCATGGGTTTTTAAGAAAAGCTTTATTTAAGAATTCTATGCAAAGACAGTTCATTAGAACTACCTCCAGGATACTGAGTGACTTTGATTCTTTCAAAATTGTGCATTCCAGGGACTCCCTCAACCTGTCCCAACTTGTTCTGCCACTAGCTGTGAGGGCAAGCTTTGCTGGTGAAATAAAGCATAAGGTTCCTTTTCAAAGGCCCTGTGTGGCTTAACATCACTTTCTTAGATTAGGATGCGAGGGTACCAAAAGGCAGGAAGATAAAGAAAAGTCACAGAAATATGCCATGTCACTTTCATATAGAAATAATGGTAGGTTCCCACTGATGACCAAATAGAATGAAATAATAGTAAAGTGTCAGCAACATGTTGAAATGACAATGCAAGGGAAGGTTTTCATTAGATTCAGATAAAAGGAAAGTCTTTCAAAAAGACACCAAACCAAATAACCAAAGAGCAAGCACCAGTGGACTGAAAAAACATGGGTTCGTTTTGAACTTAGAATTAGAAATAGCAGTAAAAGGAATCGAACATCCATTGGTGCTCAGAAGAGTGTTGGGAGTTGTAGGAAAACACAGAAGGGGAAGACAAGGATCTTTCCCTTCCATCAAACATGTGAGGGGAGAAAGTGAGAATTTAGCCAAGTGTTTAATTGGAAAACAACTAGAAATGCAACCGACGTGCAGAGAGGGGAGAGAGGTATGGTAGGAGATGTCCCTGGAGACCTCAGATGTCGAGAGGACCAGAGATGAGCCCCGGAACTGAATGTTTACCAGCAGGAACTTCAATGGCAGAGAAGAGAAGGGGCAGAAAAAAACTCTTCCTCACCTCAAGGGACCAGAGACAAAGCCCAATTCAGGGGCCCCTCTGCCTTTCTAACTCTTCCCAACATCTGCTTTCATATGACACATGGGTAAAATAAAGAGTAAGAAATATCAAGATGTTAATAAGAAAAAGAGGTGTCCTAACGCATCACCCTTCAACCTGAGAGGTATGGGGGAGCCAGGGAGACTTGCCAGGGCTGGCCGCCTGGGAGGAAGGAGGACGACTTCCAAGAGGCAGGACACAGTAAGGCAATGCTGCAGAGATACCTGTTGTTACCATTATTACGTCTATGCTCACACCACCCCCGCCCTGCCACACACACTTTTGAAAGTCAATAAACTGAAGCTTAGACATGATAAATAGTCTGCCCAACATTTGAACTCACATTTCTCTAACTCAGCAGTTCTCAAAACTTTTGATCTCGGAATCCCTTTATACTACTAAAAATTATTGAAGAATCCAAATAGCTTCTATTTATGTGGGCAATAGAGACAGAGACAGAGGTAGAGATAAAGACAGAGACAGACAGAGAAACATATATATTTACCAAAGTAGAAATTTAAACTGAGAAATTGTTAAAACACAGGAATACAAAAGCACATATTCCTTTAGCCATCAGAGCAACGATGTCCTCACTCATCATAGAGCCTCTAGAAAGCTCCCTTGTACCCTCATGAAACAAGAGAGGAAAAAGTAAACAGCAAGTTAATATTATAATGAAAAGAGCTGTGATCTTGAAGATCCTTTGAAAGGATCTGACTTCCCCAGGGATCTGAGATCATGCTGTGAGAACTGCTATTCTAACCTCAAGTCTATATTTTTCCAAGACTAGACCTTGGTACATTGAGTGAATGACCTTCACAGTCTGGCTCTAAGCTCCCTTCACTGCCTCAAGTCCCACAGTTTTTGCTAAGTCTCCCCAAACTAGCCATACCAGAATAAACCCTCTCCCTGAAAAAAATGTAGAGTCTGTGCTCAAGCTTCTTTGCAGGTGGCCATGTTGTACCTTCTGTCTGGAACTACTCCCTTCTCTCCTCTTAGGGGTTCCCACTCTAGATTTCAGGGCTCTGCTGAATGGCACCCACCCCAGTCCCAGCCAGATTTGATCACTTTCCAAGGATAGCACTTTGCTTTTACCCCTATTCATTTCACTCTACTCCACTGTTTCCTTGTGAGCTGGTCATGTGTCTACTTCCTCTTCTTTCACCCCCCCACCATCCTGTAATGAGCACCTACCCAGCAATGAGCTCTTGGAAGACGCCCAGAACCTGAGTCTCCCTGAACTACGGGGGCAAAGAAACTATGTGGCTCATGAATCTTTGATCCCTCATTCCTGGCACCTGAAACTTATTCAAAACTGTTTTATTTGCTTTGTCTAATTATTCTGAAATGATAAATTATCACTGGCTGATGGGACTGTGGGTGATATTATTTTCTTTGCACTTGACTGTAACATATTTTTACAATTATAAATATTATACAACATTAAAGTGTTTCTCTATAACTTAGCTGCTAATAGTCAGGAAACACTTATGTATGACACACAGCTCTATGTGCTTTATATACATATTAATGCATTTAATTATTTATACTTTTAACAGCAGAAATAAGTAGAGGCATGAATATCCAACTCATTTGTACAGATTCTTTCTATATGATATTCCAAATGTGCATAGTCTATTGTTGCCTATAACTTGCATATCTTTGTGTTATCTTGGCTTTATCTTCATGTTCCAAATGGAAGATTCCAGACCTTCTTTGTGCCCCATTTCCTGAATTCCTCATGGAAGATTGCTCATTTTATGGTCAGGCAATAGCAGATCGTAACATCAACACACAAACCTAGCACTTTAACTTTGCAGATCTCAATTAGCAGAATGTTCTCCTGGAAACAAATACATCTCTCAGTGGCCACCAGGGAGTCGCATTAACTGGTTGTGTTCATAAAGTTCAGTAAAACATTTACAAGGGAATGTTCTCCCTGAAGATGGAATTCAAAATGGATCGTTTTGTAAAGGATTTTTATCTCCTAGAATAACCGGAAAACAGAGTGTTTGAAGTAGTGACATGACACACTACTCAATACTAACAAAGGGCTCTCCTCCCCTTGCACCCAATCTGAACTACTCATTTCTGTGTAGATGCAGAAGCTTCGGCAGCAAGGAAAGATAGAATGGGCTAGAGTTACTGTTTAATTGGCCACAAGCTGGATACTGGCTGTCTGCTTGGCTCCAGCTGTGCTGTGACTATCAGGCCTGAGGTGATCACGGTCGCAGACTAAGCTCCATGGGTGCCCGCTCGCTCTGTGATATCCACAGGCTGGCCCTCCCTTTCCTCTAAGAAGGCCTGTGGTCCTTGCGGCATCTCCACTCCAGAGGAGCCCGCTTCCTCATTGACATGCAGGGAGCGCTCCCATAAGCAAAAGCTGCAAAGCATCATTACCGTGGTCGGGAGACAAACAACACTCGCACTGCATACCAAGTGGCACCACATTTAACTGAATCATTTTATTATGAATACATTCCGGGCTGCCACTGTGAGCCACTTGCCTAAACTATGCTGGCAAAATGGATCTTTGCTAATTACATTTCATGCATATTTCAGATCTTTCCATGGGGATGCAGGAGGATGGTGTTCATAAAAGGGAATTTTATAGCCAGGTTCACTTGCATTTGGCATCAAAACCCAAACTAGCGGGTAACAAAGATAAGTTCAATTACATTCCACGTTGTGTTTGTTTTAGCTGGAATGTTTCCTCCTAGTAACTCTATCAGTGCTGCTGTGGTCACTGGTTGAAAATGAAATCACTCTTCAAATCCACCTGAATACACATTATTGCAGAAATGCAACAGTTATTAAAGCATTTCTTTTCCACATTTCCTTTTCTATATTTGTCCTTAGATTGAATTAAGGAAATAAGCCTCTGGATGTGGGGACATGTCAGGAGAGTGACAGAAAAACATCATTACCTGCTTCAAGACTGAATTGTAAAGCACACAAGTGACTGCTTTCTTGTGGCTTTTCACCCTCTTGCCGGAATCACTTTTCACTGCCAGCAATGCTAGCTGGTTATTAAACGAGATGAAAAGCCGTCCGTGGGCTTCATCAAAGTGGAAGAGACACCTGAAGTCCTGACTTTTGGAGAAAGAACAAGCTATCCTCTGGATGGACAGCTGGTGCCGAATATCCCAGAGTCTCAAAACCTGCATGAAACGTAACAAAGTCACAGGAGTATGTCAAGAATAATTCTAATTTTTTAGCCAGATTTTCTCTAGCTCACCCTCGATCCCAGGCAGGCTCTGCATAGTGCTGTAATTGTTCACACTTCTCTCATAGCACATATTTTTTGTATTTCCCTTCTCTGTTTCAGTATCTCCTCAACTGTAATCTCTTCTAGGGAAGGGACTGTGTTTTGTCTCAGTCCCCAGAAAAGTGCATGCATTTAGTAGGTGCTTATGATAGGCAGAGTAATCATCTTCAAAGATGCCCACGTCCTAATCCCTGGAAAATGTGAATATGCTATCTTACATGCCAAAAGAGATTTTGCAGATGCCATAAATTAAGCCCTTTGAGATGGAGAGATTATCCTGGTTGATTTGGGCAAGTCCAATGTAATCACAAGGGAGATCAGAGTGATGGGATGTGAGATGGACTCTACCTAATGTTCCTGGCTTCAAGAAAGGAGAAAGGGGGGGCCATGAACCAGGAGAGCTGGAGAAGGCAAGGAAACGATTCTCCCCCAGAACCTCCAGAAAAGAAGACAGCCCTTGGAGTACCTTGATTTTAACCCAGTGAGACCCAGGCTGGAATTCTAACCTACAAAACATTAAAGGTGTGTTGTTTCAAACCACTGAGTTTGTGGTTATCTGTCACAGTAGCAACAGAAAACGAATACAACCTCTTTCGATAGATAGATAGGTAGACAGATAATATATGTATATATTTTTTGATGAAATAAAAGACTTGTTATTAAATGAAATCAAGTTCAGATAAAACACAGATAATTAAGACACAAAAAATGACATGCAGATGGAACAAGATAAACACTGAAGGAAATGGGAAGAGCAGCTTTGCAGATGCAAGTGTTGCCACTGTCAGTCATGGTGCAGAATTAACACAGGGCAGTGAGGGAGAGTCAGAGTGAAGACAGCGAAAATCCTCTCCGGGCCAGCTCTAGGGCCAAACTTTTGGGGTTCTGATTTTGGCTCTATCCCTTACTGCAGGGTGACCTCTAGTAAGTTTCTTTGTCTCTCTGAGTTTTTGATGTGGTACCTACCTATAATCTGATGCTATGAAGAGTGAATGAGAGCCCATGTCAAGCATTTAGCATGATGACCAGTATGTGGTCAGTGTTCAGTAAATGTTTTTTTTTTTTCATTATTAAGTGTATTTTATTCTTTTTACTGTATAAACATTAGAACCTAAGAGCAAAAAAGTTTCTTTCAAATAAACTAGTGCATCTTTTCAAGTATGAGAATTATTTTAAATTATCTATAAAAGATGACCTCTGTTTACACGAGTGTTTATTACTCCATAGGGCAGGCTACCCAGTAGTTTTTAACCTATTTTAAATCATATACTCCTTTGGGGGAAAAAAAAGTCATTTGAAAATGATGGTCCATCCCCTCCTCCTAAATGCATATACCCATACATGCACACAATTTTCCACATAATTTCTTTGGATACATAGACACACACATCTCCCATACAGATCCTGATATCCCATGGGATAGGAATTCCTAGAGTAGTCATTATGATTAGCCAAAGATGTCCTCTTCTACCTTTTGATTCTATCCTACTCTCTTTTCCTACATAAGCCTCTTCGTATACCTCTTTATACAGGGTAAATGGCCCCAGTTCTTTCAACATCATAACATCATTTTTAGATCCCCCTCCACCATGGCAGCCTCTTGATTCTCTCACTTTGTCTTTTTTTTTCCATTTTCTCTCCAGGGGAGGATGGTCATCCAGGTTTTCTTTACCTTTTAAAAAATATAATAAGATATGTCCATGGTGTAAAATGCAATAGCACCGAAGGGATTTTTCTTCAACCCATCCCTCTCGGCCTCAAGTCCCACTCCTCAGAGACAGCCTTCTTTAACTTTTTTTGAGTTATGGTTTTCCCCGTAACACCAAATAATAGCTGTGTGTGTGTGTGTGTGTGTGTGCACGCACGCACGTGAACACAGCATATATTAATCATACATTGAATGACATTCTCCTCTGAAAGTAATGCAGTTACTTACACTCATTTTCTCCCTTTCTCTTCCATTGCCCCAATCTAAACATTGTATTTTTTTAGTCCTATTGTTACTATGCTTTAAAATAATACACTTACACATTAATTACTGCACTATCGATATAAGACAGTATCTCTCTGCTCACTAATATGTAAAATGAATACCTTAGGGTCCTCAAGGACCTCTTTAAGCAAAGTGCTCAGAATTGAGCCAATATTTCAGGTGTGTTCTAACCACTGTTACAGGCACTGTGACTTCTTTAAAGCAGCCTACTTTTACGTGAGCTGATTAAGCCACTCCAACATGCATTGCCCTTACCTTGGGGTCCTGACTGAGCAAAACTCTAAATCTTATTCCCATGAACAAATAATCAAGCCAGACATCTACCATCCTACCTTCAAAAATCTGATGTTGCAAGCTAAAACAAGGATTTTTCTAGTTTCAAAGTGTAAAGATATAATTTTGAATCCTAATTCTATTATATTGATAATTCCTCCCTGATGTGTCCACACATCCCATGGAATACAGTAGATGGTCAATAGATATTTTCTTAATTTGTTGAAGGTTGTGGTTCATTTAACAACTATGTTTTTATCCCATTCACTGTTAAAAATATTAGCTAGGATAAGTCCAAAAATATAACACTTCCATAAAAAAGCTTGCCTCACTTCTACATGGTTATTTACCCAATTGCAGATCTCATCTAATTCACATTGAAATTTTATGAGACTTTTTCAAACATCTTGCAGAAATGAGTATGCTTGATGTATAGGGTAACCTCTCCATTTACTAACACTTATAACAAACTTAAACTGACCTAGTCAAATTCTACCAGGTAAGCAGCATTACCAATCCCTCTAATCCCAAGAATATATTTATAAAGTAAATTGGGTTTTCTTGGCAAGAATTTTTTATTAAACAACTTATTCTAGTTCTTAAACCTTACTATTTTTATTTAAAACATTCTGGCCACTCTCCAGAAAATGTTTATCCTCAAAAATATAAACTCTATAAGAACTAAGACTTGCAAATATATTTCAAAGTGTTCTAAATATAAATAGGATTGATAAGCTATTATTTTGAATGTTAAAACCACATAGATTAGATGCATCTAAGATTAGATGCATCTAGATCATTCTCAAACACTCATATAACTTACAATAGTCATATCATCATTGTTCAAAATCCTGTCTTGTTTGGTATGGACTCCTTCCTAAAATACTGAAATTAACTTCATTTCAGAAAAATACTCTGGGGCATGGTTGAGTATAGATTAACAATAACTCAACAGTATTAATGGACTATAATTTCCCCAGAATCATTTTCTGCATGTTGTTCAAATCATTTATGTCAACTTTAATATTTCATTGACATTTAGTCACATAAATTAAATGAAAAATTAAAAATAGATGAGTGATAACCTCTACTCTATGACAGGTGAGTTCTTGCTATTAGCAATTAAAATTAGAGGTGCGTTTTTTAAGCAAAATGTGTATATTCATTAATTTTTCTTAAAATTAGTTTTTACTTTTCTTCTTTCCCTTCTTCCCTTGAAGAACCCTTGACTCTCGTAATTAGTGATCCTACCAAGTCCCCTTCCATCTTTAATTCTCTAATTTTTCTTTCTGCTGAGAACCAAAGCCAACAACATTTATATACTGTCATTAATGTATAAAACAGTGTTTCAGCATTCTCCCAGAAATCATATCATGGTAGGTGACCTTCCATATGGCTTTCAATTTTTTCTACACTTCACATTCTATACCAGTGGTTCTTAATCTTGACATTAGAAATACCTATGCTGTTTAGAAATTGCTTATGTTTGAGACTTTTCTCAAACCTATTAAATCAGACTCTCTCAGGATGGGGCTCAGATATTAGTTTTTTGGTTTTTTTTTTTTAACTTCCCAAGTATCTTCATTGTATTGTACTTTAACTTCTCAATTTGGTTTTAAGGTCAATGCTAATCTCCTTGAACAAGACATCTTTCTCTCAGCTTAATCAGTAATACCATGTGGCTTGGCTTTAAACCAGATAACTGTACTCCCCTATTCAGTCTGTATCTTTTTAATCAAGAAAAAATCTCACATTAATTCTATTTTATTAATCAAGTCCTCTTGCAAAATATCACTTAAATATCTAGTTAATATTTGAGAATCCTTGATTCTCCTTTTTTTGTATTCAAATTGACTTCTGAAATAGAATTAGGTCATATTTCAGAAAGGAGTATATTTAATATCATTTTCCATTCCGATATCCTAGAGAAGTTTTCTTTATTCTTAGTAGGAAAAATAAAGAAATTGGTAAACACCCAGGCTTAAAAATTGTAATTGAGGAACTGATTATTTTTTAATTTCTATTTTCCATATATTTTTATCTAAACTGTACTTTCGATTTTCATCATGATACCTGAGAACTTGTGATGCTTGTCCAAACTCAGACTTACTAAGCCTAGTCCTTGAAATGCTCTATATAGGGGCTCTTTACTTCATCTCCATTTTTATAGTATTAGGAGGAGTAAGCATCCAAGCTTGTGATTTTATATCAAGGCAAAATTTAGCTTTTCACATAATGATGAGGACTTATTTTTCTACTTAATCTTTATCTTGTTTCAACTGTTACCCAGTTAATAATGCAGGATTATAAAAGCAAATCCTGTGCTATTCATATACACTAGCACTAGAAACCAGTGGATTGGGACTCCAGACTCCAGTCATCTCGATCCTAGTTTTAATATTCCTCAGGTCTGTAAGCTTAGGTATATTATATTACTTCTCCATTTTCTCACCTTTATACGGAAGGGGACGCCGCCAGCTCTAAAATTCTGTCAATTTTGTCTAGAATGTACTGAAATTGCTCAATCCATTATCTATAGATTCCAAAATAACAACAACTGAAGCAATTTCAAGAAGGTGTATTGTGAAGATTGGGCTAAAGAAATGTAGTCTAATTTTACAAAAAAG